TTCAAAACTTAAATTGATTAAAAATTATTTGAGGTCCACTATGTCACAAGATAGGCTTTGCAGTTTAGCAATACTGTCCATAGAAAAAGACATTGCCTCCACTTCGGACTACAAAGATCTTATGAGTGAATTTTCAGCAAGGAAGGCCAGAAAAGTGGACTTCAGCCAATGAAAGCTGCATGTCAGCTTCTTCAAGAACCTGACAATATAGTATTTGTTTGGAGCATTACAAGTGAGTAATTTCTGTTTTTACTTGATAAATGCATGAGCAATCAGCAGATGGGATGCCCTGCCCAAACAGGGAAAATATTCCTTTCCTGAACTAAAAAATGAGCAAAGGTGATGGTAGGGGGTGAATAGTGAGAATTTGACAGGGGCCCCGCATTCAAAGTTGGCCCCAGGCCCCGCAAACTCTAAGGCCGCCTCTGTCTGTATGTATATATACAGTAGTGGTAAACGAAAGACCGATCGACATCAGATTGCACACTACTGTACAGTAACAGTTATCAGTAGCATGGCTGACAAATAGCAGAGCCAAGTGTCTTATTTCCTATACAGTACTGCAGAGCTAGCTTACACATAAATAAAACAGTAAATAAAATGAGTAACTGCGCAGTATGTGTTTATGTTTGATCATGATTGGATTCCTACCACGGACGGGGTCCAGGACATGACGTCGCTGTAGGTGGACGGGGGTCGTCGGATGCCTTGGATGAGTGCGTTCATCCGCGCAAACTCACACGGCAGCTGCTTCAGTGTGGAGATGGATGAGCTGCGGACATGCATGCAAACATATGCGTACTGTACATACTGTACTGCATCGTTCAGGAAGGCATCAGTGAATGCATACTGCCCTCTCGGAGTAAATGTTTTGGATCAATCATCAATGCTTCTTTTTACACTGTTACCTCTGCCTTTGATTGAATAATGATTGGAGTAACAAGTTACCTGCATGGCTATATACGTGCTGTATTACTGGACAGTATACTGTACTGGGGTCCCGATATCTTGGAGGCCCCAACACATATAGGACGATTGAATTACATTATAGCTACACTTGAATTTCAAAAGTCGGCCTTGACATGTAGACAAGTTCTAAAAGCTAAGAACATTTTGCCAACAGCATTTATCGATAAACAGAGCACTTTTCAAAATTTCAATGTCACTTGAAAAAAATTGAGCTGAAGTACGTATTTTCGCAAAAACGTAAAAACAAAATCTTGCTGAAAAGCAACTCTAATTCATGATCCAAAAAATGCTAATTGTGTGCTTTTCTCCTGGGGGTTTCTTTCCGTCATATATGCATATACCGTGATACCTCTACACCGGGACACCTCAACATCCAGAAAATTCAACCTAAGATACTTCTTTCCCCATAAAAGATGGACAAAATAGGCCTGACATGTGGACACTGACTCGGCATGCAGTCATTGTGTACTAAAATTGCAAAGAACTTTCAGGCCAAATTACAAAAAGCAGATATTTCCAATCCTAAAATCTATGTACTGTAATAACAATTCTTTGACATTTCTCTAATCATTTTATCATCCATTCAGGTAATTTTTAAAAATTACCCTCAGCTTAGAGGGACTTCCTTCTCTATGTTTGAGTTGAATTTTATTTTTATTGAGAATCCAAACCTTTCAATTCACTGTACACAGGTACAGTAATCAATGCTCAAAATGTCCTCATATGTGCTGAAAGATATTGATTGAATCAGTTTAAATTGGCAGACAATTTTTTAATATTTCTTCATGGAATTCTAATGAATATTTCTTCCATAGAACCCCTATTGAAAATTATCCAATGTAAGTCTGAAATAACAAAATTGACGGAGACATTTAAACTTTGAACCACTCCTGAAGCGTCAATTATTTCCGCATCTTGGGGTCTCAATTTAGTACTACTTTATGTCAATACGTGTGCTTTCTCATCACGTTTAAAGCTCCTTTTAATGTCAATAATAAAATAGGGAGATAATGTGTAATATTTTCATGCACAGTTATTTTCTGTATCTTGTTGAAGTAAGTGGGGAATAAAAAAAAATATTTATTAATTTTTGGAGGATTTTTTCTGATGCTTGATACATAGCAGGAAAACCAATTAAATACTGTATGTTCGTGCGTTTAAGTTTATGGAAAAATTTGACGCGACATGCACAAGTTTCAATATGTAAAGTACATACTGTACTGTATATAGGAGCAATAATAAGGGTGTCCATATACAAGCACCAATAATTACATCCCCATCTCCCCCCCCCCTCTCCCTTCCCCCACCGTACATCATGCGATATGGCTGCTTGACTCACATGAGGGATGACCCGGGTATGACGTCAATGTCGGCCGTCGCCGTGCCACACATGAACAAGCCCATGGCCTGAACTTCGGATGGAGTCAGGGACGAGAAGGAGCCCGTGTCTGACCGGATTTCCTCGGCGAATTTGACAATCTGCATGCATTACATGCAGTTTTTGAAAATAATCTCGCATCGATATTTTAGTGTGGTAGAGTTATTATGCACAGTAGTGATCAAGTTTGACTTCAGTAGTCGATTTTCATGCCATCGAGTCAAGATTCAGTCCGGGCCATTCCCACCTGAAGCCACGAACGAGGAGGAACTGAAAATTGCATCTCGAGTGCGCAGAATAAAAGGGTCTGCACATTTTACTGTTTTAAAATACATGAACAGATGGATTGTTAATATTGATTGATTGATTGGTGCGCATAGAATGAAAAATTCTCAAAACACAGCAGTTGAATATCTTTCGTCTTTGTTGGCCGGTCGCTCAGCAATCGTCTCGGCTTTATTTATGCACGGAACTTGACGCGATGAAAATCTGGCGATGCTTGGATGGATATAAGCGTGTACAGTACTCAATACATTATAGTACCTGGTCCGAACCAAAGCCCCTGCTGGCGTCCGGGCCTATGACGGACAAGTCGGCCAGAACGGTCCTGTTGTCCAGTGACTTGAGGTTGAGCGTCATGTCCGCCACGTCGGCCGTCGTGATGCCCACGGCAGCATAGTCCAGCTTCCACATGGCCTCTACGGGCACGTCGCGGGCGCGATTGTTGAGAGGCGAGTAAAACTGACGAGGGAGAAAAAAACAAAAACAAAAACAAACCAACAAAATGCTCGTGATGATGATGTATATACATACTACTGCTGCTCCATATGTATATATACAGTAGTTCTCATCTACATGTATGCCGCCTAGCTTATATGATGCTTACATACGAACGTAAACAGTTTATTCTGCTGGATAGCATGTTAATTGAAATAGGACAAGGGTGTGTGCTGTGAGTGACGTTCACAAAGTGCAGCACAGATAGTACATTATCGTAAAGTACAGCATATTATTTTTGTCACAAAGACGTACAATAGATGAATGGAACAATTATTTATGTATTGATTGTATATAGTGATGAACGACGACGATGAGTCATCAAACGCGACAAATGACAGACAAGCACAATAACACAATTATCCTCACAAATAATACGCGATGTATTGAAAACCATTATATATATATACAGTATATATAATCGTTTTGGAGATAGTTGATTTGAAATTTTTGCCCCTCCCCCTCAAATTCGATGCATCTTTCATTTGAAAATACAGAATCACAGTGTGACACAGATTTTCTCAAAACATGGCCTCTTCCTTTTCCCAAAGGAGCAGATATTCCATATTTCAATTCCCTGCCTTTTTTTTTTTTTTTCATAGCTTGAAGGCGGCAATTAAAAATGTTACGTTGATTTCATGGAGAACATTCCATTCATTTGGCAATGTGTAATAATGTGTTTGTAAAGTCGATCCCATAAACGCAGAAAATAGCGCTTCCATGCGAGCATCGTCTTTGGATGGCGTACGGACGATGGCGTAACCCACCTCCATCCTGGCATAACTCACCTGGTGACCTGGTGGCTACTAAATCCCCCTAATCCCCCAGCCCCTATTCATGCCATTGTCCCCACTTTTGGGGGTCACTTTATTTGAATTTAAGAAATGAATCCACTATAATGTTTTCAAAACTTGGAAAATATTCAATTACATTAATTTTGAATTCTGTTCAACTGAAAAAATTGATACCAAACAATCAATGCATTCCTCCAACTCAAAGAAATTTTCCCTTTGAGAAAATCCAGTTACCATTTCCTCCAATGTATTCCGCTAGCCCACATGTGTGCAAAAATAGCAGCCACCCCCCAAGAAAAAATCCTGAGGCCCAAATATTCAGAAATCTAGTGAAGCCAAGAATCCCTTAGGCCTAAAAAGTTTGCGGGGTCTGAGAATCTGTGCATTTATTCTTGTACCCATTGACCTTTCTATTTTGAAAAAATGAAATTGTATGATATTGTTCTTGACCATTATCAAATGTGATGACTGTTCTGTTTGTGTATGGAAAATGTATTGCTCAGTTGATGTATTCACTACTTAAATTTACTTCAGGGTATCATTTTGTACACATTCCTAAGGGCAATGAGACAGGATGATACATTTAAAGAAATTCAGTATTTCTTCCTGCAAATCGAAAACTCTGTAAATGACAAGTAAAATACCAAAAATCAATACCAAAGAATACTTGTTTGGTATCAATTTGTTTAGTTTTCTCAACAGAATTTAAAATACATTTAATTAAAAATTATAAAAAATTAGAAAGAACATTTAAGTCATTTCAATTTTCTTTGTTTCTCTCCATACATCCACTGTTGTTCCGGACAATGGTTTCAAAGGGTCAACCAGCAGGGACAATATCATGAATAGGGGCTGGGGGATTAGGGGGATTTAGTAGCCACAAGATGGGTTACGCCAAGAGGCGGGTTACGCCATCATCCGTGTACCCTTTGGATTACACGTCTTAGTGTATTTATTACTCGTCTGCTGCTGTCCGACTCACCAACTTGACCTTGTTGAAGATGGCGTTGCCGGCGGATATAAGGTCAAGACGGACTGAGCCGAGTGGTCCAAGACACGCCGTCACATTGGCCGGCGTCATGGCCTCAATCTGGGCCGTCGTCAGTCCGTTGGCGCCGATGCCGTCGCGCTCGATCTGGTCGCAAGTCACAGCGACAGTCGTCGTTACCTGTCGCTTCGGCCGATGATGATCATTGCTGGATCCGTCCTGCTGCTCCTCTCTCTTGTTATTGTAGTCGTCGTCCAAGTAGTCGGCATCAGCAGGACCTGGGAATACCATCACCTTGGCATTCCTCGCCGCAGCGGCAAGTGAAGTCGTCGTGATTCCCCCAGCAGTGCTGGGGGTCGTCGCTGTATCGGTACTAGGAGGACTATTGTTGTTGTTGTTGATTGGAGTAGTAGCTGTGGCAGACGACGGAGGGCCAGAGGTGGTCGACGACACAGGCGGTGCTGGAGGAGGACGGGCAGCAGCAACAGCAGCCTGCTCGGCTTGGATTCGGTCCCGTCTGTCTTGAATTTTCCTCTTGAGGATCTGCTGGTCCACGGAAGCCTCGTCAAAGGCCAGCGACTCGTCCAAGTTGGTCTTCTTGAGTGCCTGCAGCATGTGAATTGTGATGAGAATGTATATATATACATATATGTATATATTTAACCTGGACGTCGGCAAACTCGTCCGCGAGGTAGTCCGGCACCTGAGACCGGTTGCACCGGATCACCGTCACATCAACCAACTCACTCATGTCGAGGAACTTGGCCACGCATCCGACTTGCTGCCAATCAGCCGCAGTCCACTCCCCGACGGGTCTATTTGTAATTATTCGTCATTAGTGTGCTTTTTATCATCAGCATGATGATCAGCAACGGCAACAAAAATGATGCTTTTGATAAAGAATAAGAAATACGTTTAAAAATTGAAGAAAAAAAAATAATGGAGAAGCGTTTTTGATTTCGTATGTATCGTCGCACACCCCTTGAGTACTTTGAGCCTGGCGCCCACTGCAGCCGCCGTCCGCTTGGACACGAGTGGAGTGATGGGTAGCCCGCTGGCCGTCCACGCACTCTGCTTGCCCCAGCAGTCCAGTGTGCGGACCAGCGCGGCGCCGCTCATGGCGGCCACGTCGTCCTGCAGCCAGGACGCCAAGCAGTTCATCTGTGCCGCGTGCTCTTCCTTGACACTGTACGACCCGCCATCGGCACCCGCGCTAGTCGTTTTCATTGTCTGTCCCTGTTGAAATAATGACGTCGGATGTCCGACGACAAAGATGCATATATATACAGGAGAGAGAGAAAGAGAGAGATAGCGCACAGAATTAATAATCGAATTATGAGCAACTGCTGACGCAGCCACCAGCAACACAGCGCTCACCAAAGACGACGACAACTGCAGACTCCTCAGACCACTGGCAGCTAGGGCCACCATTTTGGAGTGCGGATAGCGCACCAGGAACTCTTGCGAACCCTGTGCGGCCTTCTTGGTTACCGTCAGACTCTTATCGCCGGTGAGACCCCTCAAAGCCTTCTCACTGCATACGCATTTTATTAGGTGCATATACTGTAGAATGCACGCGCAAAATATTGCAAGTTTCAAATAAATACCCGTATACCTGAATTGAGTGAGTATGTCGAGACATACGAGTTCCAGAGTGGGCGACGCCAAGTCCGCCAGACACCGCACGTCATCTGTCGATGCTCCTGCCGATGTTGACTCGTACCGCTCCACGTACGTGCACAGCTTGGTCTTCAAGCAGGCAGCCTGATGAGCATGTTTGAAAATTGAAAGAGTGAAAAAATAAAAGTGCAGTGTATACAGTATAGTTATTTGTATAGTTTTTGCTTCAGTCAATGAATCTATAATTTACGGCTACAGTGCTGTAATACATACACACATTAATATGCATCGTCATCAATCATGTATAGATTGAGCATATACTGTACATCAGCATGCAATCATTCAGACTCACGTACAGCCTTAATCTTCATGGGCTGTGCACTCGCACATGCCTCCCCGATGAACACCAGCAGCTTTTCGTCCGTCAAGTTCTGCACGTTGTGGCAGTCCATGCTGCACACGAGCTTCCGGTCACTGGTGATGTTTTCCACGGTCAGCAGGGTGTTGTTGAACTCGAGTTCCATGTATATCCTTCTCTGAATAATAAATCGAGTACGGCCTTCATCATCAGCTTTCCCACTGATGTTTACATCAGGACGGGAGCAATAAAGCATATGAATCATCATATCATGATGTGAATCACCAAGGGTGAGCCGCATGGCAATACTGCCGTGGCTGTTTTGAGGTCTGCACGCGAAATCTGGCCACTGGCCACGGCTGCCTTCACGTCAGTCGTCGACAGGATGTTCTTTATGGCCGCGGGCACGTTGGCCGCCTTCACCAACTCTGCCAGAGTCTTGCCACAGCCGCCGTCAGCAGCAGCAGTCGTCTGTGTTATTTGGAGGACGAAAAAAAAAAAAAGGAGAAAAGAAACCAGCAGCGTGAGATACGAAGTTTATCATCAATCGATTCGAAATGAGATATTGCGCTTTACTGTACGGTACTCTAGTGTACAGTAATTTATAAATGCAACGCGCAAGCAGTATAATTGCTACTGTGCGTATTTATCCAGTACTGTACCAGCTTGCGCAAAAGGGCCGTTCGACGACCGACATCCATCTTTGCGCTCCCCTCCAGCAACTTGTCCGCCTTGGCACAGATGTCGTTAGAGGCGCTGTCAATGTCCACGGCCGTCGCCTCGTGGAGCAGCTCGTCCGGCATTTTGGCAAAGTTCAACACGTTGTTGACTCGCAGTCTACTGAGCACGTCCTCGACAAAGTTTTTTCTCTGATCGAGAGAGAAAGAGAGAGAGAGAGAGAGTGATATAAGAATACCACATTATCAGATTGGAAAATGGTACTGAATAGAAATTTGTCTCAGCTGATATTTACACTGTAGTGTTTAAATGCATGTGTGGATGCGTGTATGCAAACGAGGGTTGGTTCATAAGCCTTGGGACTCAGTCACGTACGGTCATTGCAGGCAAGCAGAACATTTTGTTTTTCTTTTGCTCTTCAATCCTTCATCGGCGCTTAATGTTTTTTTTCTCATCCAGATACGCACAGATGGAAACAAGAAAAAATACCTCACAGGGAATGCCTTCCACTGAAGATCATCTGAAGCGAAGTTTGATCCAAAAGCAGCTGTGCACTTGAATTATCTACCAATTTGCATGTGATGGTCTGGTGCAATGGAGCGTTTCTTGAGAATAAAAAATAAACATTATTTTGCTGATGAAGCTCCAAGTACTGTATTACGACTTTTTAAGGATGGAGAAAAAATTCAACGGCAGCAATTTCCATGTCAGCCATGTCCAACAGGAAAGAAGTCCCAGAATTTCATCCATCAGTGAGCAAGATGTGGCCTGCATGGAGGAGGCCCTATAATCAAATTTTTGGGATCTACCAAGCACATTTTTTTTGTGTAGCCAAGATTTTCCAAACAAACATGGTATCTATCTAAAGGGTAGCAGCACTTTTTTTTTTTAGTGGCGAGGATCCTCTTTGATTAGGGCCTCCAGCTCACAGGCCACATTTTGCTCACTGGTTGAATTGCTGGGACGTCCTTTCACATTCGGCGTCGCTGATGAGGTGATTGCTTCTGTTGAAAATGTTTTTTCTTTGTATAAAAAGTCGCACAACCCTACTGAGCTTTATCATCACCAAGATGTTTTTTTGTGCATTCTTGAGTAACACTCCGTTGCACTCAGACCCCCGTAATCCCCAAATTGGTAGAGCATGCAATTGCGCAGCTGCTGTTATCAAACTCCACTTCAGTGGAAGGCATTCACGGTGAGTTATTCTTCTTGTTCCCATCTGTAACTATAGGTGGGTCACACATTTATTAGACGCTGATGCAGGATTGAAGTGCCAAAGAAAAGAAAAATTCGTCCACCTTCAATGACGGCAAGGGACGTATGTTCCAAGACTTATGCACCAGCATGCAACCCTCGTACAGCAGTGTATATGCATACCCTGACTCCTGTAAGGTCCTTGAGAAACTTGACCTGTTCCTCTACACTGGTCGAATTGAGCACGCCGCTGGCAGCCTTTTGAAAGTCCATGAAGTTGCCGTAGGTGGCGCAGATGTTTGCCAGGGCCTGGGAGTCGGCAGAGTTGCTCACGAGTCCGTCAAAGCCCGTCATGTTTGTCTGGTTCCGGCAAGCAGCACTCAGCTGTTCTCGAACTCGCTGCCATGTAACAAGAATACCATAATACTGTACAGTACTCGTCAATGACAATGAATCGTACACATGCATGACGTATTAGACATACATTGGACTGTATACATATATGTACAATTGAATACGGTAAACAGTTATATATATATATATATACCGGCATGCAAGCAGGGGTGTTGAGGATCCTCTCCCTGAACTCGCGTAGCTTGTTCGTGGCCACAGACGCATTCCGAATCGCGTAGTAGGCCTCGTTGGGTAATTGACACAGCACGGCTGCTGGGAGTCTGATTCAGCAAGACCAACAACAACAGCAATATCAGCAGTATAGAGCTCAGATGACGAGTGCGGAATACCCAGCCAACTTATTTTTATTGCTACAAATACATTTCTTATGCTATTTTCAAGTACTATATACTGTATATATAAATACAAATATAAATAAATAAATTTACATGACGCGACGTTATGGTACAACTTCCACTCAACGCTGCTCCATTCAGGGCTAATCTCTTTCACGCCACCCCTATAGGAGCGCCAGCAGTCCCTCATTCAGTGACTTTAACTGAAATGGTTTGGCAAAATTTATAGAGAAACTCCGAGGGACGAATAACAGTGCACATATAAAAAGACTTTTTTAAATAAATACAATATGTTGTCTAGGGAAACTCTGATAGCCTGAATGGAGTGGTGGAACGTCGATTATTTCAAAGAAGACAATTATATATATTATATATATAAATAAATAAATAAATAAATAAATATATATATATATATATATATATATATATACGTATGGTGTATAAATAAATAGATTAATTGATATATGTATATATATACTGTATGGAATTAATTGAAATATGTGTATATATATATATATCAATTGGAGCATAAATGATTTATTTATACATATGGAGTATAAATAAATAAATAAATTGAAATATATATATATATATATATATTTATTTACTCCATGATTTGCTTTGAAGTTTCTCTCACAATTACCTTCTTCTTGAAGAGACAAAGGGAAACAGGTTTTTCCAGGCATTTCTGCCTTCTTTTGGTTTGATGACTTTTCATGCTATCCTACATTAATGTGTGACTTATTTCCCTAAAAATGTATACTGCTGTTGTTTTCTCCTTTTAACAGTGACAGATGGTAATCACTGTTTCCTGTTTCAGTCTCTAATTCCTTAATTATAATGTGAACAGCCTCCCAGGAACTCAGCATCTTTACAACAAGACCTGGATATGCTTTGTAATTTCAAAACTATTCCTTGATCTCAATTCTTGAAAGCATTTGTTTTCCTGTTTTAGTCAGCATTCCCCAGAATTGTTCCATACACTCTCATGATTGCTCAAGAAGCCTTACAAGTATCTAAGCAAGACTTCTTCAACTTACTAAATATTTTCCTTGACTGAATTTTTTGTACATATATATCTGTGTTAGACCAAATATATTGAAGAGTATACCTATGGTTTATATGTAACATTATTTATTTAGTTTGACCGAAATATATTACATTCAGTTAAGATAACAATATATATATATATACAGTGAGACCCCCACATGCGGACGCCTTGACCTGCAGACAATTTAACTTAGGGACACTTTCCTTACAATTATAAATGACTCAACCTGCGGACACTGACTCGACCTGTAGACATCCAAATTTTCAGGAAATCAAATTTTGCAAGCCAAATCATTAGGAACAGATATTCAGAACCATAAGATGGTAAGATCTCTGTGACAAAATTTTTTTTAAATTCTGTCATCATTTTCCCCTCCATTTAGCTAATTTGAAAAATTATCTCAAGCAAATAGAGATTCTAAAAAAAAGGGATTTCCTTCTCTCTTTTTGTCTAATTTCATTTTTACAGGAAATGCTAACATCTCAATGTTCAATAGTATACAGAGGTACAGCATTTATACTTAGACAATTTTTCCTGTATGTTCCTAAGAAACTGTTGAAAAAACATTATTCTCAACTTTTTGCATGTCAAAACGCTAAGTTTTATAAGTTAATTTCAAGAAGGCTACATAAAAAAGTGGAAAATTTCCCTGAAGACAAGTACATCTGGAATAATCAGGAATTTGCCAACTGTGGAACTCAAAAAAGAAATCAAGAAGATGCCACAGCTGGAGAAGAAAGGAAGAGAAGAGAGCATTTGCTGAATTGATGGATCTTAACATTCAGCAGTAGCACATACATTGTACATTTTGTGACTTTTTTATGTCCCCAATGCTCCAAATTTCATACATGAGTTGAAAAACACTGATTTAATAATTTTTTCATCAGTAGAATTTTTTCCTCAATTTTAAAAAGGAATTTTGATGAATAATATTTCTTTTGGAAAACACTAATTAGAAATTATATAATGCAAGTCTATGGGAAAACAAGACTCAACTTAGGGAAATTTCGACTTAGGGACACTCTTGATACACCATTTACGTCCTCATCTCAGGGTCTTACTGTACCATCAAACCCCATTAAGGCACCCCCCCAATAAAGTGCCAGCCTTGCTGGCAACCACCAAAATTTCAAATGAAACAAATCTCCTCAATGTTAAATTCTAAAGAAAACCTCAATAAGATTCCATCCGCCTGCATTAGTGATGAAACAAAAGTGCTGTTTCCAATTAGTTTTGTCTTTGTTACAACACCAACATTGGGGTAGATTTATAATTTTGCCGAGGATCCTGTATTTGTAAGGAAAATAATAATAATGATCATTTTATAGAAAATTATATTGACCTAATCTTAAAACTTGAATAAATTGATGCAGCAAAATTTATTTTCTGAAAGAGTAATCCATTGATCACACCAATATACTCTGGAAAATTACTGAAGTTTTTACGTAATCTGTATATCTATGACTTTTGGAGGAAAATTGAGTATTTTTGACCAAATTATTAAAGCTAAATATTTGATGAACTGCCAACCTCTTTAAACCGCCAAAATTGCTCTGGACAAATGGTGGCGTCTTATTGGGGTTTGACTATACTGTATACGAGTATCTTCCAATAGATGCCCTGGGCACCTATTGAAAAAAACTGCTTCTACCCCTCCCCCAGCATTTATAGGAGACTGGCTCCTATTTGGAGACTGGCCATTATTTACAATTTGCAACAAATAAACATACCTTGAAAATCGCCGAAGAGATAAAATTGGCATATATATATACAGCACTGCAGAGACACCTATTTCCAAGAATGCCTGCAATGATGCCAAATAACCGGAAACTCACTTTGCTATTCGCTCCAAAAAAATCCTAACTAACATCCCACGCAGCATATACCGTATATGAGAAACTCAATTTCCCAAAAACTTTTAAAATGCGCTCAAAGCAATGAGAGTGTTCGACTCGTTGTTTCCATTGAACTCGCGCTGAGCGATTTGTGTTTGTGACGGACTGACATCAACTGCTGTCGCAATAATGCGAGAATCGAATCGCAGTATATGCAGCACAGTATTGTACTGCTACGCTAGGAAGTTTTAGACTATTGCTTTGAGAATTGTTCATATTTCTATAAGAGTTCTGATGTACGCATTAAATTGGTAAGCACGTGCTCTCATTTTCAATAAAATTATTCGCATTCTCCATTCGAAGAAGTGACTTATTCGGCATTACCCTGTACAGTACAGTACAGTATATGACTCTTTGTCTATATACTAGCTGATGTATATACGTTTTCTGAAGTCGAGTGGAATGAGCTATACTGTATAAGGATGCATTCAAGTCTGCCGTATAGCTCAGTTCGGTTCTCGTAACTGTCGCCGGTGAATGTACCGGTACTTAACACACTGTTACGCTGTAGCGTGCTTCTTAATGCACGTATGAATGTACAATACGTATACTCATCGCGAATTATATTTAAAACGTGACAAATCACTGCTACTTCTGCTGCAACTGAAAATGCTTCAGGCAATCTTATCAAATTGCGATGCTTCTATACTGTAGCGTATACAGTATTATCAAAAAGGATGCATAACAGCAGCAGCAGCAGTACTACAGTATATCGTCGTCGACTCGCTTGCAAATACAGTACAGTACGTATACGAAATGTGTATAGACAGTCCAATAACCCCTGTACCTCTCGCCCAAAAGCCTCGTTTCTTCAGCTGTGCGGTTCGTCATCGAGGTGGCGGTGCTTCTGCCCCACGCACTGGCAATCGCTGCCTGCTGGTCGCCCGTCAGCTTGCCGCTCTTCACCTGAATTCATTTCATTGACAAAATAGGCATGAAAGGTATGACATTGAGATGACAGCCACATCATGCTTCGCTGTACGCGGTAGTTTCATCGGAAATGATGCGAGCACGCAGTGCTACGTACGTACGTACTCGTCAACAACACATGATTACTGCTGCCAATATTATTGTACTGTACATACACTGTACAACTGTACTATTCGAGTATATATAGACCCGGCGAGAACATGAATATCCTGTCATGTGTGGCTGCTGTGCATGATAAAAACGAACGACGCACCAACTCTGTAATCTGTGCCATGTTGGCGTCCAGGGCGGATCCGTTCATCCTGGCGATCGTGTCCGAAGACAAGAAGGCCAGCGACTGGATCTCCTGCGCTAGGGTGCTCGAGTTCCAGCTGCCCGCGGGTCCCTGAATCCTCTGGGTGAGGGCAGAGATGATGGCCTGTAAAATGCGTACGTGGATGATGTGCATGCGTGTATATGCTGTACATACGTATGATTGATTATCAGTTTGTGTGCATGCAGTACAGTATATATATAGCCACTGTCTGCTAGAGTAACACACAACCGACTAACCAAACAGTTGTACAGTACTGTATATATACTGTACAGTAAATTTACTGTACAATAATAATTATATAATCATACGCTGTATATATATACAGTACAGTATTACCCATCACAGCAATGACAGAACATCATGTAATGGGACAAATAAAGGGCCATGATGAACGATGTTGATGTATACAGTATATATGCATGATACAATATAATAAATAGTTTTCATCATTTTTTCATCAAATTGAAATATTCACACTGTATATACAGTACTGTACAGTACAGCAGCTGCTGTTTTACGGTATGTACTACAGTAATACGTTTATCGTCATCGCAACAACTGCAGATCGACCAACCTGATAGCGCTTCACGTCGCTCTGGTTGTTTTGTTGCATCAAGACGCTAATGTCGGACCTGGCTTTGCTCAGCCTGATGATGATGCATTCCACGCAATGCATCGCAATATAAATACGCATGTATGATTATTTATTAATTCGAATGAAATTCCGGTGCTGTAAAAGACACAGGATATGATGAACAAGAATAAGGAACTCACAAGTCCTTGTTGACTTGCGACATTTCTGCCAGATCCGAAATGGGCGCATTCCTGAGAAGGGCGTCTTGTCCGACGGCATTGACCATGTCCTGCGTGACCAGGGACAGGTTTGCGGGCAAGTGGGCCAACAGTGCCCGCACGACGACGGCGTCGTTGGCCTTGCTTGACCCAGCCTTTTCCGACATCTATTATACACATTCGTCATATGCATCAGCAAACGACGGCGGCCGGACAACGTCATTATAATGAGCAAGTTTTCACGATGCATTTTAATTATTTCAACTATACACTATACAGTACTGTATACTGTATATATAGCTGCGGCTTTCGATCCATTCAAATACATATATATACATGCATCAGTCATGCTCAGCACGTTTCATCATCGTACATAAAATACAGTACTGTATTGCATATGTATATAATCGTAGGTGTAGTATACAATACTGTACTGCTGTATATACGTGAGGATGAATAATAAGTTGATGACTGACCTGCTTGATACACGCCGCCGTCTTCTTCAACAGGTCGGGACTCATGCGGAAGTTGCAGGCCGTCTTGAGTCGAGCAAACATGTCACTCACGTCCAGCAGAGTCTGGCGCAGTTCCGTCGCATTTGACGAAGATGACGACGAGCTGCAGTCGGCGACGGCGTTGATCATCTTTTCCTTTTGCGTGTCATTGACGGAGCACAGGACGGATTTCTGCCTCAGAGGCATGATGATGCGTGTGTATTTAGATCCAGCAGCAGCAAAAACAGCAGCAGTGAGATGATGAACGTACGTGGATGGGATGGACCGCCAAGAAAGAAAATGAAGGAATGAGGATGCCACGATTATTATTGCACCTATATATATATATATATATGTACTGCACACCAAGTGTCTATTTATTTATTTAAACGGAGTACTATTATGCTGTACTGTACCGTATATATACAGCACTAACTTACGTCCAATTGCGGCAGGAGCTTGCGCAGCACAGACAAGGTCGTGTCGTTGAAATCCTTGATGTCTCCCTGGATCAGGTTGGGCACGAGACTCGTTGGGATGGCGGTGAGAGCCTGCTGGAATCTGTTTGTTTTTAAAATTAATAAACAAGTAAGCAAAAATAAATAAATAACTGAAATCACAATAAGAGGGATACAGTATATATATATATACTCACGAATTGGACTGGATGTTGCCTGCAAACACGCCAAAGAGCTTGTCGGCGTCTTCGCGGAACGCCGTCGGCAGGCGCTGCACCTGGTTGCGGTTGACGAATGCCGGCAGTCGGTCCAGGGCCGCCTTCCACCTCTGCCGCGCGTCGCCCAGCGTCAAGTCGGTGTCGTTCCTCCTCCCCGCACCACCATGAGCTGCAGTATTCTTCACATTGAAGACGATGCCGGTCGAGTTGGTATTATTATTATTATCATTCTCATCCATCATCTCGAGTTCCGTCGAGTTGTTGAGGTCTGCAAACGGCGGTCCTTCTTCGCTGCTGCTATTGTCATCATCATTGCTGCTGTCTCCAGCAGTAGCAGCAGCAGCATCAGCGGGCAGAGAGGAGGGTGGTGGTGCTGGTAAGGACGAGTCGCCACCGTCCTCTTGCTGCGGATGGGCCTCGACTCTCTCGCGCATCACACACGTCACCGTCAGCACGAGCACGAGCACGAGCACTGTTTTAAGCGACAGCACCCGCCGGGATGAGGAGTAACGACGAGGACTGCAGGCGCCGAACAAGGATGCCGATGAGGACGAGAATCGCGCCCTCGCGTCATCACCATCATAACCCTTCATCCGCATCATCGTGTCAATATAAACTGTGATTCTTGTACACAACATACGGATTCGTCTGCATTTATAAAGAATATATGGAAAATGGTCATTACATACATGCTAGGAAGAGATGTAGTAATTAAAGCAGGTTTATTTCATATCACAATGTAGAGCAACTGCTGCATATGCCCTCGACAGAGCCACGCAGCAGCAGCAGCCATACTGCAATGTATGTATATGCACTTTTTCACTTTTTCTGCTCTGTTCGTACAGCAGGGTACAGTATAGTCTGCGAGCATTAACGGCAATAAGGGGTATCAGTGTAATAATAATAATAATAATAAGAATAATAATAATAATAATAATAATAATACCGTAATAAAGTACAGTACATAAATAATAATGGTTGAATCGAGGCCTCGATCCCTCGCACCGACAGTTGCTGTTCGCGACTATCGTCTGCTGTACGAACAATAACCAGGGTGCTGCGGGGGTTACCAGAGCAACCGTCAATATACAGTAATGCGGGAACCAAGGACGAGAATTGAGAGCCACAAAAGAGCCTCAAAAATACAGTAAACCCACCCACCCGACCGCTGCTATGTACGTATACGTGTATACTGTATATGTGCTCGCAGGACTGCTGCTGCTGATGCGTATACGCAAGAGCCATGATATGTAGGATGATACAGTACACTTGTTGGAAAAGCCAAGGTCACCGACCTACTGCTGATAGCAATCAGTGCGTCGTGCTCGCCTCATTCGATCAAAATACAATGCAGCAGTGTGCAATTTTTTAAATGCCATAAATAACGAGAACAGTTAGCAGAGAAAAACGCCTGCTGCATACAGTACTGTACTGTACTCATACATGCAGTATACACGTGCATGCGTCTCATATCCATCCTCGGCCCTATTTTTAGTCTATATCCGGAAAGATGCGGAATGCAAACGAGAAAAAAAACAAAAACAGTAACATACGTACTGCGGTATTCACGCTAATATTCTACACTATTTATACAGTAACTTGAAAATGATTCCTCAGTCCTGCCTGCGACGGTCATTCCTGGATTGGATATTCCGCATGTACAGTCTACTGTACTGTATATACTGTACTCCCATGTACGTACCTTGCGCGGCATGTCTTTAATTGCAGCAGTAGATTCACTGACTATGCAGTACCGAGATCCACAGTCGATCGCGATCATAAAGTTTGCTGACTGAGAGAGAGAGGCACATATATATACAGTACGTTTAGCGAGCACTCACCCAAATATCTTTCGTTCCAGTTCTCGACTCAGTTCTTTATACTCAGTAATACAGTACAGTAGTTGGAAATGAGACGGACGAGTGAAAAATGAAAGGAATAAACAAAGAAACGGGCCTGATAATGTGCACATGAAAATAAGCAACCTACATATTATACACAGCACGATATGAGTAGAGGTTCAACCCCTTCGCTAGCTCGCATCAGCAGCAATGTCAGAGCACGTGTATACAGTACAGTATACTGTATGCCGTAGCGAGCAGCTCGGCTTGATATACTGTACACTGTACACTATAAACCGTGCGGATACAAAGAGATGACCTGAATTACGCTTTTCCAGCTTTATGTGGGCGGAATTGATCAAACTGTCGCATCACGTGGAACCGATTTCAATCATCCCCACGAAAGGCAAGCAGCACACGTTGAGGCTGCAGCATGCTGATGGCGGTGGCTTCTGTCGCCTACCGTACTCGCTCAGCACCTGCGCTGTATTTACCTGATGCACTCCTATATACTGTACTCTACCTTCATCACCCGCGCGATATGTTGTGCGGTTATTGTTGATGCTTCACAGCATGCATTCCAGCAAAGGATTAATGTACCCGCCGAGCCGAAAGGACGATGAGAGGACGATTGGCGAAAATGCGCGAAGAATTCAAGACTGACCCGGCCACGTAAAATACTTGGCACATTATGTAGTACTGTACTACGGTATATAGTGTAAGAGTCCCCGCAATAATGTACATCTGCGTGCTGCTGTGCTGTACAGTATATATATATATATATATATATATATAGGACTCAGCCTATTTATGTACTGTACACCAAAGATGCTTTCCCTGGAGAAAACTGATGGAAAATAACTGAAAATAAAGGGTGCAAGACATACAGCTCAGACGTGTACGTGTATGACATATACAGTACGTCGTGTAGCAGCGGCAGTCACTTGTTTGCCGGCCGCAACAATAACTGGAGAAATCATCAACACGTACGATAGATGAGCAGCAGCAGCACGTACCACCACGAACGAGGAAAGGACTCGATCCTCGCTGCCGGGCTAGCTTGGATCGAGTGTGAGAGAGGATGAGTGAGAATGAGTGCAGCGGAATATCGGATATCCGCTGGATGTATTTATACGCGCTGCACTGTATACATACCTCACTATACTGACTGCTGATGATGGCAGCATTCTACAGTCGATGCATGCTGACCTCGACCCTCAATCCCCAAGCTCTCGTGTTATGTGTTATGGCCATACTGGCACCATGGAGATGGCCAGCAGAAGCCATCGACCCGTTAAATAGCCCCGTTTGCGCCACGCGATTGATAAACTCGCCGGCCATCATGCATAAATTATGGCGACGAAGGACCTGCTGCTGCTGCTGCTGGATGCCTGCATGCAGCTTATCACTGCTGCATTCGACTGCTGGGGATGAATCCCTCGCTCTTGCTGATCCTCTGCTGTCGTGATCGTGATCGTCGTGTTATTGACACCAGCTATAGCTGACAATCACACACACTGTACTTATTGCGGCTGTTTTTGAGACTGCATGCTAGCTGTAGCATCAGACATCAGGAGAAGACTCATCATCATGCAGAGTCTGATTCATTGACAGTACATAGTCATGTACCATGTACAATGTATGGTATGCAGCATTATGCCCTTTGATCGGGTGCAGCACAGTTATTGGAACAAACCTATCATCATGCCGGTTGAAACCACAAAATGTACGAGTTTCGTCCGATTTCCGCACGGAAAATACAGGTAGAAATGCTTTGTACCATCACTCGACATTTACTGCATTTACGCGTCTAGTCGTGTGGCCATTACAACATTATTGTACTGCTTGACTCCTTCAAAATATTACCATATCTTATTGATCCCGATTATAATGGAAGGATCGAACTGATGCGAATTTTATTTTATACCGTCTTCTTCCTCAAGCTGAAGAATCAATCTTCGGTGACACTTGACGAAGATCAATCACGGCGCAGAACTATAAAAGTACTCTACTGATTCTACAAACTCTGAAACCAAGGATTGTTCGATCCATTCATACACAGTACAGTAAGGGCTCCACGCCCTCACTAGCAACATCCTACCGGTTGTTGCGTAACTACGTATTGAGAACCTGTTCTAATAACCAGGCGCCCGGATGTCTACGAGATCGCGCGTCTGTCTGTTTGTTTGCCATCCCATTACATTCCTTGCAACCGCTCACATCCTTTGAAACCTTTGTGTGTGTGATCACGGATCCACTAGTCTGAGCCTAATACATTGTGTGTGTGCTGACATCACGTCTACATTACTTCAACATTCTGTCAGAGAACCTTATTGTACTGTATACACTATACATGAACCCCGCGCATGACGATGATCTTCCGACGAACCAGCAGTCTTTTTGTGTCGAAAATATGTTGAAAGTTTCAGTAGTTAGTGCAAAACACTGTAAATGAAAAAAGTACTGTACCTTGGGAGGGAGAATAGAGTGAACCAAGCAAAAATGCGAGCAGTGATATTTCAGACTGAAACATCACATACCCTTATACGGTACTGTATGACCATTTGTCGACACGTTTTCGCGGAGAGGCTGATGGCGAAGATGAACACGAGAGATAATATCTAACGCGGCCGTCATAGCGTGAATGAGCTTGACAACCATGGGCAACATTTTGTAAGGAGAATAAATAGGTGTCACTCGCATTAGCAGTACTGTACTGAATTCGGCTGTCTGTCAGCCAGCCAGAACCAACAGCAGTTAGTGCTGTAACGTGGTTTCTTTTCTAACTACAGCACATTAGTCGCGTTTCACACCATCGTGATATGGGCGTACAACTATACTATACTGTGTACCATAAAACACTAGGACATCTGTCTCGTTGTATGGATAGACAGTACTCGTTCTGTTGGATGATATGGCGGATTTGAGATAATTAATAAAGGTACGTATACCCAAAAGATGATTGAAGACACTCAAGAAAAATTCACCGAACATTACATTCTATCTGCTATAGATCCGAAGAAGGCAAAAGAACTGCAGCAGGTGAAACGAACAAGCATTTTAAAAGTCCATGTCCATCATGTATACATGGTGGTGCCCCGTGCCCGGTCCATCAATAATTCGTCAACTAACCGAGCAAACCGTTCTGATGGTTTTTGTTTTCTCGGAACATAGGAAGTGACACCTAACGGGAAGCCAGGAAGATAAGCCTCGTCCTCAGAAGTAACGGGTGTGGGTAGCGCATCTATATCGAAGTGGGAAGGGTATCATCATTACGTCGTACACTTATACTGCATGCTCTTCAAGAGCAGTGCTGTTTTCTCAACCATCAAGTGCAGTATGGGAATTCCCTTCAATGCTGTCGATACATTATCCATCTACGAGAATGCAGAGCACGCGGCAAATGTATACAATGAAAATGTATATTAATTTCGTTTTTTCATCTTTTTTTCATGAAAGGTAATTTCTATACCTAGGCGTGCATATTTCATGTTGATAGATGAGTACTTTACTCTGAGCAATGACCTGATTCAATTTCACTGTAAGAGTTATTATTGGAAAAGGAAGGTTCCGCGGTGGATGTCCCCCGCTGCTGCTGCTGCTGGTGCGTGTACACTGTACACTACTGTACAGTAATTCTAATATGGCAGTAATCCTGCAATGAAGAACTGGTGCACGCGCCTTAATTTGCACTAATGCCAGAGGCTTACTGTTTTTGCTGTATTTGGCTTCTCTGCTTTTTCGGCTGCAGCGTACGCTAAAATACTTCTCTTCAGACGGAAAGGAAGCCAAATAAGACCCAGCAAGAACATGTATACAGTGCAGTAC